CTGATGCTGCTTGGCCTGCTGCGTTCATCTAGCTCTACACCTTGTTATCTCAGTTAGCAAAACCTGCAGCCTTTGACACTGTTGACCACCACGTCCTCCTCTAATACCACTTTATTGTCATCCAGCTGGACAGTTCTGCATCTTCTGGTTCCATTCTTATTTATTTAATTGTATTTGAAGTATTGGCCTCTCTTCCTACACCTGCAATTACCTCTGTTGTTCTGTTAAGGACCTTATTCTTCCCCCATCCTTTTTCTTATTTACATGCTCCATGTCACTGACATTGTGAAAACTAATACTGTATGCTCACAACAACCAACTTTACCTCTCCGCCACCTCTCTATTATCCAGATCAAATACTACATAGACTAACTTTTCTGAGAAGACTGAAACCATTGTTTTTGGTGCCTGCTCCAAGCTTAACTTTCTTAGCTACAGACCACGTCCTCCTTGCTAACAACAGTAAAAGACTAAAATAAAACAAAGAACTGCAGATGCTGGAAATCTGAACAAAAACGGAAATTGCTGGAGAAAGTCAGGTCTGGCGGCATCTATGGAGATAAAGTAGAGTTAATGTTTCAAGTCCAGTGACCCTTGTTCAGAGCACATTAAAAGACTGTCTTTTTCCAACCTTGGTGTCATATCTGAATTCGAGTTGATCTTTTGAATATTTACATGTACCATCACTAAGACAATCTGTGTCCATCTCAGCTAATTTGCTGAAACCCTGATTTATCCATTAGTTATCTCTAGATTTAACCATTCCAATGCACTAATTTCCCCTATTTTATGTGCAGTAAACTTGAGAACCCACAACCCTTTGAGATATCTGTACTCATTTAATTCTGGCCTTTGAGACATTACCAATTTCAATTGATCCTGTATTAGTGACCAAACCTTAACTCCCAAAGCCCTGAAGTTCTAAACATGTTAATTGACTTTCCTCGTTTAAAACCTGACTCATTAACACTTTTGGTCATCTAACCTAACATCTGTTTATGTGGCTTGGTGCCAAATTTTATTTTATTGTGCTCTGTTGAAACATCTTGGGGCAGTTTATTGCAGAATTGTTACGTCCCATCATGCCTGCACTCACCAGCTCTTAAAATGTGCCTCGGTACCTAGTGTCAATTTCCTGTTTTATCCCTATACTTGCACATAATTTCTATTCAAGTAATTGTTCAGAGCCTTCTTGAATGCCTTAATTGAAACCGCCTCCCCACATCCCAGGCAGTGTGTTCAATACCATAACGATTGGCTGTGTGAAAAACGTTTTTTTTTCAAAACACCATTACTTCTTTTGTACATCACTTTAAGTCAATACCCTCTTGTTCTTGTTTCTTTTAAGAGCAGGAACAGATTTTCCCTATTTACTCTAACCAGCCCACTCATTATTTTAAAAACCTCTATCAAATCTACCATACCCAGTACTCCAGCTGGGGTTGAACAAATATCTTCTGCAATTCCCTACGAAAAGTTGATATTGAATTTGCTTCCGCTACACTTGCATGCATTCCAAGTCACATTAACTTGCCCTTTAAGAAAGTTTCCTTGCGTCATTTCTTTTTTGCCAATCACTTTAAATCTATGTCCTTTGGTTACTCGCCATTCCACCACTGGAAACAGTATATTTACTTCTGCTGT